CAGCTTCTCCTTTCCCTCCACCTTTCCCCCCCCCTACCTTGGTACAGTCCAATACAGTTCCAATTTTACTACCCTTCCCCCACCATTTCCCAAATTTTTTCCCATACGAAACTCTGAAATTTTGAAAAACTTGAAGCAATCTCTGAGTTATTTCGGACCAAAACCCCAATGGACATGAAACCACCTTCCGCTTTTTCCCCCTCCTCTGCTCCATCTGCGAACTCCTTTTCACAGTGCACCCCTTTCGCTGCTGAAAAAATTTTCACTGTCCCCCTGTGGACTTTTCTAACCCTCTAGTCCGTAGGAACCCTTACCCGGGATTTCAAGTATTTTATCATTGCCAATCATGGGCCCTTTTTCAGTGGAATATACGCGGCCTCGGGGTAATCGGGGTGAGCTTCAATGTTTTCTTCCCAGTTTGCCCCGTTGGTGTTTGTTAAAGGGAAAAAAAATTACACTTGCTGTTATTTTCACATCTCAGGCTATAATTTTTTGTATTCTTCGTTCCTTTTCCCGTGGGACCTTTAAAGAAATGCCCTTCTTTTACGCACTGATATTCCGTACCATCAGCTATTTTTTCTACTTCGCTGATTACCGCAGTCCCATCCACTTACTAGGTGGTATACGCTTGTTTTTTATCCTCTCCTTCTCGGGGATTATCTTTCCCCGGGTTTTGCCTTCCTTTTTTCGTCTTACCGCCCCGTTTTTGTTTTTGGTGATTTTTAAACCCACCATTTCCTCTGGGGGGGGGTTCACTGTGATTTCCCGGGGAATTCAGTTAGAGGTTTCTTGCCACCCACCCCCCCTGTTTTAAATACAGGTACCACCCCATTTTTATCCCCGGTATCTCTCTCTTGCATCGTCTCTCAGTCTGTCTTCCCTGCCGCATTTGATTCATTGGGGCTGTTTCCCGGACTTACATACAGGGCTTTCCCCCTTTCTTCTTCCCCTTCATATTTGCCCCCCTCTTCGCACCCCCCTTTGGCAATTTAATCGGGCAAAATTGGAACCTTTTTTCACACCTAATTTTTTAAAGAGGTTCCTTCTCTCCCCTCGATGAGCTTTTACACCTCTTATCGTCCTCCGCTTTCACCGCGTTTCATTCTACCCCCAAACTTTGGGGAGGGGATTCTCAAAATGGTGCCTTGGGGGCTCCTGTTGTGCCGGCAAACTTTTAAACGCCTGCTGGGGAGGTACCGGTACAAAAAACCACAGAGGACTCCCTTTATTTAAACAGAAGGTGCGATCGTCGCCGTGTCTCCGGATGCTAAACGCCTTGCTGGGGAGATTTTGTCCACCATCACCTTGCTTTCCCTTTTGAGTGCAGTCTGGAAAAAAGTAAAAACTGAGTGGTAAATTTTCTCCCCGACCCGGTCCTGTTCTGCGGGTTGCCGTGTTGAATAGCAAACCCCTAGATGTTCCAATGAAATTTGGCAATCTTGGTCCCTATTTCTAGGGGGCTCCATCATCCCCTTTTCTTTCCTAAAATCTGCCCCAAGAGTTTGCACCCGGGGCTTTTCTTTCCCCAAGAAGAACTATATGTGCCTTTTAACTTCAAGAACTGGAGGCAACACTCTCAGCTTGTCGATCATCGGGCAGCTGGGCCCGACACTTTATATTTGTAGCACAAAAATTTACTTTATCAGCCCTTGCAGTCCTATTAGCCTTTACTCTTATTTGGTCACAGGAGTTCTTCCACACTGTGGAAATCCGCCCTTGTTTTTCCCTTTCCGCAAACCCGGCCTACGGACATGAAACCCCCCCTATTTTTCCCATTTTCCTTACCAGTGCAGTTTGCAAAGTAATGGAACATAGTAATAGACGGTGTGGGATTTAGAGACACACAACAGCTCCCACTCGTCAAAATGGCTTTCGAAGGGACGTTTACCATAGCCCTTTTCTACGCTTGGTACGTATGTTTTTAATGCCTTTGCGAAAAACCCCTCAGTTATTCCATATTTTTTGACCCTTTAGAAGGGGGTATGACACAAATTGGAGGGATAATTTTTACCCAAGCCCCTCCTTTGGGGCCCTTTAGGCAAAACTCCATCCTTCCTTTAAAAATTTTTTTAAATGACAGCATTTTGTGTTGGGGTTTAAAATGTGCTCCCCCGGACTTTATCCAAGCTGAAGGGTCCCGGGGTTGTTGGAGCAAACACTTTTTTCCTTGTATTAATGATTTGGCCTCTGTCTTCCTCAAATATTTTTGGGCATCACTCTTGTTGAGACTTCGCATTGCCTTGCAGGCGCTGACTGTCACCTCTTCGTTTCTCTCCAAATCATCGACCCTGTTTCCAATTGGGGGGACCCCAAAGTGGGGTTTAAAATTTTCCCGCACAAAACCCCCCAAATCCTTTCACTAGGCCTTTTGTCATCCCCCGATCATCCTTGTCCTCTTTGGGTCCCCTACCCTGAAAGTGATACAGTCAAGTTTTTGGGCCCCTCTTTGATGTAGGTTTCCTGGAAACCCCAATTACCTCTCTGAAGGCAAAATTTTTCACAGCCGGTGAACCCTTTTTAAAACCCCGCCTCTTTCATGGGGATAAATCAACCCTCCTTTGCCTAATTCCACCCTTTTTTTATCGAACTTGTTTTGGTGACCCGATTATTTAGCGGCATCCCTGCTATCTCTCTAGCCTTAACCCTTCATCACCAAGGATTACGTTTTGCCTTGGTGCTTTTCGCTCTTCCCCCGTCGAGAGCCTCTATGCAGAAGCGAACGTTCTATCCTTATCCGATCGCCGTGATGCCCATTGCCTGCGCTACTATGTACGCTCTCATGATCTCCGCAATCCTCCATTTATAGAATGGTCACTGATATTAGTAGACATTCTTTATTTGTTCGCCGCCCCTGTTTACTCCGTCCCTTCTCTCTTCGCCTTCATTCGCTCTTGTCTTCTCTTCAACTACCACCTTTCTATGTACATGTAGCATCTCACTTTTCCCTGCCCCCTGGGAAGTTCCAGCTGTTCGAGTTCTTCTTCTCCCTCCTTGCTCGAAAGCCCAACTGTCTACGGTCGCTTCCCGCTCTCTTTTTCTTGACCACTTTCACTCTCATTCTATGCCATTGCTGTGTACACAGATGGCTCTAAGTCTTCTGACGGCGTAGGGGTTCGCAGCAGTGTTTCCGGACAGTGTCGTACAAGGGCATTTACTATCTTCGGCTAGTATTTTTACTGCTGAATTATATGCCATCCTTACAGCACTTATCCTATTGCATCTATGCCTGTGTCAAACATTTGTGGTTGTCTCAGACTCCCTTAGTTTCTTTACAGGCTATACAAAAATTTGATACACCTCACCCCTTAGTCCTCCGTATCCAACTTTGGCTACGCCGCATCTTTACCAAGCATAAAGATATTGTTTTTTGTTGGGTCCCTGGTCATGTTGACGTACAGGGCAATGAACAGGCTGACACTGCTGCGCGGTCAGCAGTATATGACCTACCAGTTTCTTATAGAGGTATTCCATTTACGGACTATTTTACTGCAATATCTTCCCACCTTTACACACGTTGGCAACAACATTGGTCTACTATGCTCGGCAACAAACTTCAATCTATTAAACCGAGTATAGGTTACTGGCCGTCTTCTTATCACCAGTGTCGAGGTTAGGAGACTACTCTCTCCCGTCTTCGCATTGGCCATACTCGTCTTACTCATGGATATCTCATGGAGAGGCGTCTTGCTCCTCTCTGTGAGAATTGCCAAGCTCCATTATCAGTCAGCCACATTCTGTTGGACTGCCCACTTTATCAACGAGCACGCAGAATTTACCTCTGTCGTCGTCTTCGCTCCGCTGCTCTCTCTTTACCTTCCCTTCTCGCTGATGGACCCACCTTTCATCCGGACTCTCTCATTGACTTTTTGACAACAACTGACTTACTTCACAAATTCTGATACCTTCAGCCCTTTCTACTTCAATCTCTTGCTACCCTCTACCCCCGTACTATCCCCTGCCCCGCTGTTTTCTGTAACTTGCTGATCATCCCCCCTCCCTTCTGCCATCCAATTCCCTTGCTTCCTTCCCTACCCTGCAGCGCTGTATAGCCCTTGTGGCTTAGCGCTTCTTTTTTATTATAATAATAATAATTGTGGCTGACCCTGATGAGCCCATGTCAGTTGTGAACTCTATTGTGGCACTGGGGAGTTCCATGGGGTTGGATGTGAGTTTGGAGGATGTGGAAGAGTTGGTGGAGGACCACAAGGAAGAGCTAACCACTGAGGAGCTGCAAGAGCTTCAGCAGGAGCAGCAGCAGATCGCAGCTCAGAATCTTGCTGCAGAGGAGGAGGAAGAGAGCTGGAAGAAGGTGCCTTCAGAAATTAAGGAGATTTTTGAAATGTCGGCAACTTGTACAGTGACAGAGTCTTGGCCCATTTTAGGGAAGTTTTAAAGAGAAGCCAGAAACAGAGCTCTCTGGACACTTTTTGTGAGACAGGACTCCAGTGACTCTCAACCTGGTCCTAGTGGCATTAAGAAACAGAGAAGAGAAGTAACCCCAGAAAAGCACTTGGTACCTGAGGTGTTGATGGAAGGGGATTCCCCTTCCAAATAGTAACTAATCCAATCTCTCTCATCCTCGAGTCTTCCATACACTAAGAAGAATCGCCAATAAAGGTAAGTGGTATGTTGTTAATGTTTCATTCATCATTTCCCATTGTATTGTTTATGTACTACATCTATATTTCATGTAAAAAAATTTTTGTTTTAATACTTCTGGGTGTCAGGAACGGATTAATTGTATCTACATTATTTCTTATGGGGAAAATTGATTCGAAAATCGTCAATTTCGATAATCGTCGCACTTCCAGGAACTGATTAACAATGATAAATGAGGAACCACTGTATTTGGAATTACTGGACACTCAGCATTATTGGTCTGTTAAATCACAGTTTACTGTATGTTTTGTTAGCATATTTACAATGTGAAGGTTTTGTGTACTGCTATTATTACTGACTCAATTTGCATCATTAATATGTATGTATGTTGTGTTTTGTAGGTTGAGAAAGCTCGAAAGTTACGGCTTGATACATATGACATTGTTGTGGACAAGTGTGCTGTATCATCTGGTGGACTGCACATTGTTGCTGTTACCTCGAACAACATGGTGTGCATCTGGAAAAGAGGAAAGGAAGAAGATGGAGAAAATTAGAGGAGCAAATGATACGCATATTGTATAATCACAACTGGAAGCATGACCAGCGGTCATTGGACGCAGGAAGATTGTTGGTTGTGATAATTCGTTGATTAATAGATAAAAAAAATAATGCTATGTGATATAAGGCAGCCATGTGATATCAAACTCTTTGTTAGCATAATTATAAAAAGGCAGCTTTGATATTACCAGCACTGGATATTCAACAGAAGTATGTCATGGAACTTATAACAGATGTATAATTTCTTTATTTTACCACTGACATCATATATCTTTCGTAAAAAAAAAATTAACACCAGCCATCTCCCATTGAGGAAGGGTGACCTGAAAAAGAAAAAAATACTGAAGTTTTTCTTCCTTTTGCATTGAATAGTCTTTTGCAAATGAACTAATAATGTGATTAAAAATTTATTTTGTTAGCGAGTGAAGCACTGAATTTGTATTTTGTTTAAAAGAACAAAATTATTATACAGTGTAACATGCCCAATACATGACAGGTAGAATGAACAAAAAATTCAAGCGAGAGTTAATTATACAAAACCAAGAATTATAAAACTTTAAGTCTACCTCTTCACTGCCACTGCCTAGATACACAGTATACTCTATTTGATTTTTAACACTCCATTTCCCCACCAAGGCACGGGTGACTTCAGAGAAAGAAAACACATTCACCATCACTCACTCTCGCTGTTTTTTTATGAATGAAAGATAAAGTGAATCACACAATAGAAAGTGGCAAAGTGTTAAAGTGCTGAGAGAAGTTTGTCAATGAATGCTAGAAGAGAAAATAATCAGAGTATAGAGGTGCCATTGCTTTTGTATGACAGTCCTTGAGTATTGCTGAACATTTAGTATGATCATTCAAAGAATAAGTGAGCAAATTAGATGACATCGTGATTGTATAAAATGTATAATTCAGGTAATGCAGCAGGGACTGTTGATATAATATGATCATTTTAGAAAGCATGGAGCACTATAGATTGAAGATGGCATTAAATCTGGGAATCATAGGGAACATCCCAGGAAAGTTTGTGAAGATGAGGTTTTAAAAAGGTAGGGGCTTGAGCATTCAGAATGTGAGTGCATGTTAGATTGGAGCAGAAGTAGGTGGTATTTGGGATTTCACCTGCTGATGTTGTGTGAGCTGTTTATTATCAGTGAAGGAATTCCGGCTAGCTGCTTAGCCTGACAATGAAGTTTTGGAGGTGTGAGCTACGGTGCTTGCTTTTAAAGGTATGGAGTGTGAGCAGTTTAACATCCATGAAGGAATTCAGAATAACTATTTAGCCTGACAATTTGTACAGTGCTTACTCTTAAAAATGATAATGAGTGGATCATTTAAAATATGATATATGTGGACTTCTGAAAAGAGCTTGAAAGTTAGTGATATTCAGTGCATCTCCTTTATATATATATATATATATATATATATATATGCGAGTAGTCACGAAAGCGCTTGGAATTTCTCTATTCTTTCAGAGTGGTTGTTTTGCGCGCATATATATATATATGTATATATATATATATATATATATATATATATATATATATATATTTTATATTTTATATATATATTTTTTTTTTTTTTTTTTTTTTTTTTCAAACAAGTCGGTCGTCTCCCCCCGAGGCAGGGTGACCCACAAAAAAGAAAAGAAAATCCCCAAAAAGAAAATACTTTCATCATCATTCAACACTTTCACCACACTCACACATTATCACTGCTTTTGCAGAGGTGCTCAGAATATAACAGTTTAGAAGCATATACGTATAGAGATACACAACATATCCCTCCAAACTGCCAATATCCCAAACCCCTCCTTTAAAGTGCAGGCATTGTACTTCCCATTTCCAGGACTCAAGTCCGACTATATGAAAATAAACCGGTTTCCCTGAATCCCTTCACTAAATATTACCCTGCTCACACTCCAACAGATCGTCAGGTCCCAAGTATCATTCGTCTCCATTCACTCCTATCTAACACGCTCATGCACGCTTGCTGGAAGTCCAAGCCCCTCACCCACAAAACCTCCTTTACCCCCTCTTTCCAACCCTTTCGAGGACGACCCCTACCCCTCTTTCCTTCCCCCATAGATTTATATGCTTTCCATGTCATTCTACTTTGATCCATTCTCTCTAAATGACCAAACCACCTCAACAACCCCTCTTCTGCCCTCTGACTAATGCTTTTATTAACTCCACACCTTCTCCTAATTTTTCCACACTCCGAATTTTCTGCATAATATTTACACCACACATTGCCCTTAGACAGGACATCTCCACTGCTCCAACCGTCTCCTCGCTGCTGCATTTTACCACCCAAGCTTCACATCCATATAAGAGTGTTGGTACTACTATACTTTCATACATTCCCTTCTTTGCCTCCATAGATAACGTTTTTTGACTCCACATATACCTCAACGCACCACTCACCTTTTTTCCCTCATCAATTCTATGATTCACCTCATCCTTCATAAATCCATCCGCTGACACGTCAACTCCCAAGTATCTGAAAACATTCACTTCTTCCATACTCCTCCTCCCCAATTTGATATCCAATTTTTCTTTATCTAAATCATTTGATACCCTCATCACCTTACTCTTTTCTATGTTCACTTTCAACTTTCTACCTTTACACACATTCTCAAAACTCATCCACTAACCTTTGCAATTTTTCTTTAGAATCTCCCATAAGCACAGTATTCATCAGCAAAAAGTAACTGTGTCAATTCCCATTTTGAATTTGATTCCCCATAATTTAATCCCACCCCTCTCCGAACACCCTAGCATTTACTTCTTTTACAACCCCATCTATAAATATATTAAACAACCATGGTGACATTACACATCCCTGTCTAAGACCTCCTTTTACCGGGAAGTATTCTCCCTCTCTTCTACACACCCTAACCTGAGCCTCACTATCCTCATAAAAGCTCTTTACAGCATTTAGTAACTTACCACCTATTCCATAAACTTGCAACATCTGCCACATTGCCTCCTCTATCCACTCTATCATATGCCTTTTCTAAATCCATAAATGCAATAAAAACTTCCCTACCTTTATCTAAATACTGTTCACATATATGCTTCAATGTAAACACTTGATCTACACATCCCCTACCCACTCTGAAACCTCCTTGTTCGTCCGCAATTCTACATTCTGTCTTACCTCTAATTCTTTCAATTATAACCCTACCGTATACTTTTCCTGGTATACTCAGTAAACTTATTCCTCTATAATTTTTACAATCTCTTTTGTCCCCTTTCCCTTTATATAAAGGACTATACATGCTCTCCGCCAATCCTAGGTACCTTCCCCTCTTTCATACATTTATAAACAAAAGTACCAACCACTCCAACACTATATCCCCCCCTGCTTTTAACATTTCTGTCATGATCCCATCAGTTCCAGCTGCTTTACCCCCTTTCATTCTACGTAATGCCTCACGTACCTCCACCACACTTACAGTCTGCTCTTCTTCACTCCTAAAAGATGGTATACCTCCCTGGCCAGTGCATGAAATTACCGCCTCCCTTTCTTCCTTAACATTTAAAAGTTCCTCAAATATTCTCGCCATCTACCTAATACCTCCCTCTCCCCATCTACTAACTCCCCTACTCTGTTTTTAACTGACAAATCCATACTTTCCCTAGGCTTTCTTAACTTGTTTAACTCACTCCAAAAATTTTTTCTTATTTTCATTAAAATTTCTTGACAGTGCCTCTCCCACTCTTTCATCTGCTCTCCTTTTGCACTCTCTCACCACTCTCTTCACCTTTCTTTTACTCTCCATATACTCTGCTCTTCTTATAACACTTCTGCTTTGTAAAAACCTCTCGTAAGCTACCTTTTTCTCTTTTATCACACCCTTTACTTCATCATTCCACCAATCACTCCTCTTTCCTCCTGCCCCCACCCTCCTATAACCACAAACTTCTGCCCCACATTCTAATACTGCATTTTTAAAACTATTCCAACCCTCTTCAACCCCCCCACTACTCATCTTTGCACTAGCCCACCTTTCTGCCAATAGTCGCTTATATCTCGCCCGAACTTCCTCCTCCCTTAGTTTATACACTTTCACCTCCCTCTTACTTGTTGTTGCCACCTTCCTCTTTTCCCATCTACCTCTTACTCTAACTGTAGCTACAACTAAATAATGATCCGATATATCAGTTGCCCCTCTATAAACATGTACATCCTGGAGCCTACCCATCAACCTTTATCCACCAATACATAATCTAACAAACTACTTTCAATTACGTGCTACATCATACCTTGTATATTTATTTATCCTCTTTTTCATAAAATATGTATTACTTATTACCAAATTTCTTTCTACACATAGCTCAATTAAAGGCTCCCCATTTACATTTACCCCTGGCACCCCAAAATTACCTACTACTCCCCTCCATAACATTTTTACCCACTTTAGCATTGAAATCCCCAACCACCATTACTCTCACACTTGATTCAAAACTCCCCACGCATTCACTCAACATTTCCCAGAATCTCTCTCTCTCCTCTACACTTCTCTCTTCTCCAGGTGCATACACCTTACTATAACCCACTTTTCACATCCAATCTTATTTTACTCCACATAATCCTTGAATTTATACATTTGTAGTCCCTCTTTTCCTGCCATAGCTTATCCTTCAACATTATTGCTACTCCTTCTTTAGCTCTAACTCTATTTGAAACCCCTGACCTAATCCCATTTATTCCTCTCCATTGAAACTCTCCACCCCCTTCAGCTTTGTTTCACTTAAAGCCAGGACATCCAGTTTCTTCTCATTCATAACATCCACAATCATCTCTTTCTTATCATTTGCACAACATCCACGCA